AATGAGTTATAAAAATGTGTAAGTGACTTGTTTAGACTTGTAATTAACTAGAATAATTGTTAAAATTTGAAAAAAATCATTTTGCCTTATAAAAATTTTTTTTCGGGGGCATTGCTGACGCCAAGCCCCTTTTTTCTGGAATTTCGAGGTTAGGGACCGCGAAAACTTTAGGAAGCATACCAAAAAAAAATCGGATTGCGTGGCTGACGCCACGCACCTTCGCCAGAAAATTTTTTTGCCGTTTTTCCGATCATCTGGGTACGCCACTAGCTTCTATCACTTTCGCAGATACTCTGAAAAATCATTATTGCTGTTTACGTGACATGACTTATGGAAAAGATTTGCGGTAAAGTGTGAATTTCATGTTCATAGTCAGCGAATTAGTTTAACTCAACGATGAAGTTTTCACCATTTTGTAACAATCTGGTGCAAAATATTGCCATTAATGGCTCGAAACATTCTTCAGTTCCTATCGTAAACCTACACTAATGAAGAAAGTTCAGCGACTCGCTTTATACTGCAATTCTAAGTTGAAGACTGCTCTACTGAATAGTACTTTATGCTAAGCAGAAGAGCTCTGGAGAGAGTTATCACTGGTTGAAAGTGTGTACAACTTAATTTAGGAACACCCTGTTTAGAGATGTTGTTGTATTTCGTTAAAAATTCGTGGAGCTCTCCGACCATGCCCCCTCTCTCCTATTTCTCCTTAGCTCGTCTGCATCTCTATCGCGCGCTCCCTCGAATTCTTTTCATTTCTTTTCCATTCATTTTTTCACGCGGTTTTGTGCATTTGATATTTTGTCAATGTAGACAATATCGCTTATCTAACTGCCAGATATCAAACAAAAATTGACCGCCATCTTTTTGGAATGAGTAAACCATCTTCTATGCTTGGGAATTTCTTGCACAGGTTGATGCAACAAAGCAGACAACTTTGCCGGAAAAGAAGCTATAAACACAAGTAAGTTAAGGAAAGCATCAAAAATTTAACTTTGAGATGCACGTTGACTTTAGAAAACAAAGCAATTTTTTTTCTAATTTCTTCCCTGTTTATGATTTCCACTTGAACACTGATCTTTGAGGCCGTTGCAGAAAATTAGCTTTCTCACGTTCTCCAGTAGTGAACTAGTGGCCTTGAAGCAAAAACTGCGATTGAAAATTACCAAGAATGATTTCCAACTATTGCAGCGTTCTTAGGATCAGTTTCTTTTGCTTTTACTACTTAAATTACATCACTTTCTCTTCTTTTATTTGCCATATTTCTATCCTTTTTATGGAGAGTACGCAAACAACTTTCGCCGCTGAGGCTCTATCTCTAAACTATCGGCATGACTATTAGTCTACATTTGTGAGAATAATGAGCTTCATAGCCAGCAGAGTTCTATCAAAGAACGAACAATGTTAAGGCGGCAAAATTGCCAAGTTTAGTCCCTTTCGCTCTTGCTGGAAATCGAATCGTATTTGTTTACAGCAAAAAGTTTTTCGCATAGACTGTTTTGAAATGAGCGAGATAAGAAAACCGCTTGCGATTTCAAACTGTAAATCGAGAAGTTAGAGGTCATATCTAAGCACAACGCTACTGTAAATAATTGATAGGATGTTGAAGTCGTATCTTGTAAAACAAAGACTTCTTAAGCTTTGTGACATAATACTGAAAGTAAGTGATCAAGGTTTGTGCCAAATCACCTAAACGCCATCAGGGCATCTCACGACTGCGCAAGTTTCGTGTCCTCAAATTTTCTGCTTCCCAAAACGTTTTGAGCCTACAATAATTACTTTATTGCCACCATAAGAAAAGCTACTAATAATGGCCGGTAGTAAGCCCCCCATCAAGGCATCTCTCTCGACGCGGACCGGAGTTGAGGTCATCGCGCCTCAGTCCAGCATACGGCGAGCTATTGATTTGGATGCGGATCACTGCCGAAGCATTGCAATCAAATGTGTACTTAAAAAGAAGCACTCGAGCTGGTTTGGTCAAACGGGTAAGCGATTGGAATTACGCGCGCGCGGCCGTGGTTCGACTCCGTTTACCAGCTCGCTTTTTGATGCATCGCCGGGCAATCTTTGATAGCGGCCACTATGGCAATCGATGATGATCGCTATCAAGGATTTCGCCAAACAAATGCACGGATAAAACAAAAACACATTTTGTGAAGAAAATTTTACGAAAAAACGAAATGATTGCAGCGCGAATTTAATGAAGTGAGCAAATGAGTTCTTGTTTTGTACAGCCAGTGAGAAAAAAATCAGTAAGGAACAAAAAAAGAAGAATTTGTTTTTTTGTTTTCCTCGCCAAAATCAGCTGTTCATCGATCCTCTCCTTTTCGGGCGCGGTTGTGCAGTTTTGCGCCGATTTTTTCTGCATTTTTTGGCAAAGCTGTGTGTATCGTAAGTTACTCAGGAGCAGCTTATGTTAGATGCAGTCAACTCTTGTCTGCGTCTCCTCTTTTACACGCTATTTGCATTCCTCTAACAGTTCAGTTCAACTCAACGTGAACGGATGTGGAACAGTTGACTGCAGCAGGTGGACAGATGGCCAACTATCAGTTGACTTGACCATCTTATAGCATGGGAAGGTAGACGGTCATCAGTTCACCTCATCTAAGCTTAACTGATGGGATAAGTTGAGTTCACCTCAACTGATCAAGCTTTACTACGGGCCAATAATTGATGTTCATAAACATCACGTTCAACTATCCATAAATCTTGGCATAGCTGTAATCTTCTCGTTGGTTGCTTGAGCGTAGTCCAAGATTGGTACAGATTTATCGCACAGGATAGAATACAGACCAACGTTTCAGCGAACTCGCCTTCTTCCGAGTCTGAAAAGTCGAAGACACTTAAGTAAGCTATCCGATCAAACACCTCATTGACTACAGAAAAGAAACCAACCCCTAGGAAAAACAACAGCCTCAACCAAAACGCAAGATTAAGCCATTGCTCACCTTAGAAGATGATAACAATTGGGTGGGTGCAACCACTTATGTCAAAAGCACCGGGTCACTAGTCAACTGTAAAAGTTAAGCGGTACGGCTTTTGACATAAGTGGTCTGCAATACCTAATTATTATCATCTTCTAAGGTGAGCACTGGCTTAATATTGCGTTTTGGTTGAGGCTGTTGTTTTTCCTAGGGGTTGGTCTCTTTTCTGTAATCGATGAGGTGTTTGATCGGATACTTTACTTATGTGTCTTCGACTTTTCAGACTCTGAAGAAGGCAAGTTCGCCGAATCGTTAGTCTGTATTCTATTCTGTGCAATAAATCTTGTATGAAGCTGGATTATTTTCACACTCATTCCGCATCAAGCGCCTTTCTTTCCATGTTTGCATATATTATAAGCAGTTATGGTTCCAAATCTTCACAATCTCCCTTCCCCTGTTCTTTAAGCCAAAACCTCCAGAATTCGTGCTGGCCTAATCGGCATTGAGTGTGTCTCAACATTCGATGTACGCATTAGTTTTTTATCTGGTGTTTGCCCTCCTAATTCATCCTCTTGACCTTCTGTTCTTTTCATAACGATGATTCACAATTTTCTCAGACATATTAGGCTACCTACTTCATTATTTCAACCGAAGCATATCAAAGAAAATTGCTGTATAAATGGTCAGGCAACAATGCAGACAAACATCTAAGAAATGCCCAGAATAGAAAACTTCCCTATCTAACAACACTAGAGACTACAGAAAACTCAAACTCGTTTTCTCTAATTAGGGGCAAACTTGCCCCTAATTATTCCTCTTCAATATTCGCATCGCGGATGGCATCATTCTTTTTTCTAACAGTATCATGGGACCATGTTGAGCACTCTCGCAATAGATGATCGCCACAGCTTTGTGATGCCTTTGGAAAAAGGAAAGGGCTCTGAGAGAATGGTGGATCATTAGAGGATCGTGAAAAAAATACGAAAAAATTGGCATGTAGTTGTTCTATGGTAAAAAATAGAGACGTTCAAATTAGCTAAGTAATATAATACTCAAGTCTCCTGATCATCAGGATATAAAGCTTTCTTTCAAGCTGTCCCCGCAACGAAAATGTATGCATTGGCCATGAACGTTTTGAATTGCTGCCCCTATCTTCAAGTGGCAATCACTTGAGAGGAGATAAATCATAAACGTTCTGAGTGATCACGAAGCGTACAAGCTGTTCTCACTTCTTTAATACAATGTGACACCCAGTGATGGAACTCATGAGACAAGAGAGTTATACATAAAAGCTCATTTCTATACTTGCTCACGAGTGGTTGACGAATTTTCGGAAATCCGGCGAAACAAACATGAGCTAAATTCGAGGCAGGGGCTTAAACGCGTACAAGGACTGAAATAGTGACTAATTCTGTATCTCTCACAAGGAATGCATGTTTAGTCGAAGTGGCCTTTTCACATGGGATGTATACCTTACGGCAGCGCATAAAATGCTAATTTCTGTCTTTCTAATCTGCGAAACGTTTATGGACGAGAAGTTATGAGCGTTTTTTGGAAAAATTGAATGTTATTCTGGATAAAATGAGTTGCTAGAATCACTAGATTCTTAATCTCACATAATGCAACCAAGGGTGGTATGATTTTTATTTTAAAGTATTTTGGAATAAAGTGCTCCGATAATTATCACCGTCCATTGAAGAGCTAGAAAAGGTATCAGGGCTATTTTTGTCCTACTTGCACATTCAATGTTTTGCTTCAAGAAGCGCTCATGTTTTCTCGTCCAAAAAGGTTCTGCAGATAAGGAGGAGTTTTAGGATCAGCATTTGAGCCCTTCAATGCGGTATACATCTCATTTAGAAAGGCCACTTCGACTTGTAAGTTTCATCTTTGAAAGATAAAAATATTAGAGAAAAATTCAGGTTGCATATGGAAGTTAATAATTATACTCTCATAGGAGATATCACTTTGGAAATGAAATGGATACATATTCTACTTTTTTGTTGTGATTGCATTTTTTCCTATTTTTTCATTGACGTTCACTCACTTTTAATCAACATATAGTATTTGTTACAAACTACCATTTTATTAATATTTATTGATTAATGACGCAATTTTAATTACATGTAGATACACACAATGATAACCCGAGTGATTTTTTTGGAAGCGTGTTTTTGCACACACACCATTTGATTTTCGCAAGTGTAGAACATTATGATTTCATATGCAGAAAATTAAAATTCCAGATCAGGCTGGTAGTCAGTGTCAGGCATTACGCGACTTGGCTTGTACTTGGCAGGGATTTCACTGAAATAAAAACTTTTTCAGGAATTCCCTTCAGTTGTTGCCAAGAGTAGATCAAACTCACGGGAGAATCTTTGCATAGTCGAGCATTTGGAAGGGAAGCTCTCCAGGTTGAGGGAATTCAGCAGATTGTAGAGAACGTTCAAATCGAAGCACACGACGAGAGATGGGGTGCTAAATTGATAAATTTGCAAAAATCATTTTTTTTCAATGGTTTAAACATTCGTTTGAGACCAATCCTCCCAATATCATAAAGATAATTACCCTGCGCTTTGCGAGGATAAATGAATTAGGGATGAAAATTCCTTTCATTTATCTTAATTATTTGTAGATGATTCCACCATTATCTCCTTTTCATGTCGATCACTTATCCCATGAATATTTACTATAATCTGAGCTCAAAGTTGCTCCTTCAGTGCCGAATATAAGTCCCGGAAAGGGTCAGAAGTCGAAACTCCGTCTAAGCATGGGGATACAACGGAAAATCAAGAAAAACTTTACAATTTTATAATTTTTCTTGTCTTTAGATCCCACATTACTTGTTTTGTTACGAAGTCTCAATTTTCTTCATTAGATCTGCATGCAGCATTCAAAGATAGAAACCACTCAGTTACTAATCCAAACTTGCTTTTTGCGTCATTAATCCGGCTATGAAGTGTTTATACTCAACTCAAAAACTCCTTACATATTCTCAAATTAGAAAACGTTTACCTCATCGATGTTTTCATTCGATATGCTCGCATATCAAAGATCCCGTACTACTCAGGAAAGGTTGAGTTTATATAAACACCACTCGTTCTGAGCTATACATCTGTAACGTCAATGATGGCTTATCTGCCTCCGTAAGCGCATTTTGACTATTCTGGCGTTGAAACTACGTAATATCAGAAGATGTTTACTTTTACATAGATCACAGAGTCCGCATGAGGTGGGAAAAATAGCTTTTGCTTGATGTCATTATAGCGATGTTTTTCTCCAAAAAGCTAAGCCGCATAAATGTTCGTATCTCGCAAGAAAGCTAAAAGTTAGCTCTAGAGCAAAGGAAATCTTGTGATGATCAACTATTTTGGAATGTAGTTTTTTAAGGTCTAGAAGGTCTTGAAGATACTGAGTTGATCGAAAAGAACCAAAACAAAATATTGAAAATATGCAGGGGTTACTTTCTGGATTTTATTGTAGCAGTAAACAACAACGTGACTGAACCGTCAAGTTATAAATTTGTTCATTCTCAGTGATATTATTTTTATTGACATTAAAAGTTTTCAAACAATGTTCCTTCATTTTCAAGCAAACAAAAAGCTTAGTCATGGACCTTTCTTTTACTCCAGAGTTTCCAAGCGCACTATTTTTCTTCTGCGTTGGTATGATCTCCAAACTGCTGCTATAGGATACCAGGGTTTCTCCGCGATTGGAAAGCTATTTTGAGTCCCTTTACTCTTTGTTAACCCTCAGCTGTGGCCAAAAAACTCAAGGTAAAATAAGGTTCAAGGAAAAGAAAGTTATACGAAATCTTTTTTTGGGAACCTTTTCGAGGAATTATTTACATGCCTATGATGCATATGCATACAAGCAAACTTTAAGAAGCTGTCGGTTCCATTACTACTAAGTTTTCTATTTGATAGCGGTAGCGGGGGGGGGGGGGGAAGAAGATAAGAAAAGCATCTGATACCGCGAAAAGATCTTTGGTGATAATCTCATGCCGATCAGTGACCTCTAACATTTTCTCAACTAATGACCACATATGACTATCGTTACGAGATATCAGTTCTAAACGTTTTTGCGCCATCATAACAACTTTTGCCTGAAGGTTGAATTATCCTAGAGTGGGAAGATGGAAAATTCTTCGCTCAAAAAGGTATTCAGTAAGAACAGGTTTCCGTAAGCTTTTCTCAAGCATGTGTGTTAGTGAAGCTGGTTTTCCTTATGCACTTTCTATTGCAACTTAGGTGCACTCGAAATTTCTTCCAATTTCGTCTGTGCGCTGCATTGTTCGCACTTCTTTGTGAAGAGGCATTGTTCAAGATGGAAAGTGCGCAATAAGAAGAAGTTTGGAAGAATGGAGAAAGGCGGGGGAAGGGGGGCTTGGTCACAATTTTCATTAGAGTAGTTTTAAAGCCCTCTACTTCCACTGGTTGAACATTGTCAAGAAGATAACCAAATTCAGAAAATAGAGCATTGAACAAAACGTTACGCGCCGACTTTGAAAGATGATGTAAATGTGTTTTTATTACGACACGAGGAAAGGATGTTTTCGAATAGGACACGAAAGACTGGAAAGTTTTCGTGGAACTAAACTAATACCGGTCTTTTACGTTGTTACAATTCCTTTCGATAATGATGTTGTTGTGTGATCAGCTTCACTTGTACGCTAAATTTGTTCTTTTGCGCAGTAATCATTGCTTTCAAATGTTTGCTGGAAAAAAGGAATTCTTATGCTTTTCTGGAGCAATTTTTTTGAAATTTTCTCTTTAAATGAATTTTCTGACGCTGTGTATAGAGGAGTGTGCCGTTACTTACTTTCTACTTACGAAAAGGAAACGAAAAATATGGCGAGAGGACAGGTTAAAAAACTTAGCTAGCAGTGTAGTATAGATAAAATCTTACTGTAAGCAGAAAGCTAAGGGGATTTCGCTTTTATCGCGTCAAGCATTTAACCATTCAGAAACTTCCATAAAAGCCTTACGGAACTTTTCTATGCAATGTTTTGAGCGCATACATTGGATGAATCATTGCAGCAGAAACTTTAGTTCGCTCCTTTTCAGAGAAAAAAGAAATTCCAGACTTCTAGGTTTTATTCTAATCCTCCAGACCCAACACATTTAGTCACTAGCAATTTTTGATGGGTAGGACATTACATGCTAAGAGTCTCGGACTCTGTGGTTTGGAGTACTTTCCATCTAGGACCATATGAACAATCGTGACTGCAAAATTTGAGCTTATCTTACCTTCTCGTACGCGCCGCTCTTCTTTCCCTTCTTCAGAAGATTCTTATCGAAAGCCCATGTGACAGCGATGATGAGAGCGAGTAGCAGAAGAACTCGCATGGAAAGCATGGCGTTCGAGTTGTGTGTGTGTAATGTGGTCCTCACCAGACGAAGCAGAACTCGTCTAGAAAGTGATGGACACACGAGGAGGCGGGCGGGTTTTGTAGCGTGCGCAGCGCTCCTTTCCGGGCCGGGCGGCTGCGAGAAAGAGACGATGACGACGACGGAGAGGCGGGTGTCGTCGACGACCAGCAGCGATCCGTTCGCGACCCGACGGCGCGACGAACGACACACAACGCTCCGTTTCAGGTCAATGGGGCAGCGACAACGCGTTTTCACCGTGTGACCATCGCCCCCGATAGTGACATTCTACGTGAAAGGTTCATAGGCCTATTAAGGTGTCAGAGTGAAAAGGAACTGGATCATCTGTAGCGCCAGCCGTGGTGTCGCGCGCTTGTCCGATTTCTCTGCTATACGAAGAAATTCACGCTGGAATGAAATGGAATGAGCATAGCGTTGATTGTAGGGGGCCCCTGTAGGCAGGTTTACTCTAAAATCTGAAATTAATACATGAACCGAGCGCAATTATTGATTTCAAATTCTTTTTCAGAATTTTATGTTAGGATCAGCTTGCGTGAACCAAGAGGCAAAATTCGGGTAATAAAATACACTATCTTTTTTTTCGTCGAACTGCACACGGAAGCACTCACGGAGTTGATCTTGTTGAGATTCAAAAAAAGCCATTTGTTACATTATTTGAAAAACTGCAAATTTGTAATGTCCCAACATATATATTTGCATATTTTTCTGAACGCCACTTAATCTTATAATATAAAGCTGAATGTCTGTTTGTCTGTCTGTCTGTATGTCTGTCTGTCTGTCTGTATGTCTGTCTGTCTGTCTGTATGTCTGTACGTATGTTCCGAATAGAAAATCCCATTTCTGAACCGATCCGAATCAAACTTGGCACACATACACACCGGGCCCCGGCGGATGTCATAGGCCACTTTTCGTCATCGATCGATATCGATTTTTTCGATTTTTTGCAAAATTTGAGCTACGGAGCTGGGAGTTGGCACAGGGGGGTAATCGAGCATGCTGATTACGAATATAATAATGACACGGCCGGGCGGAGCCGGGTAAGTCAACTAGTTAAATAATAATTTGGAATTAGATGCTGAAAAGAAGGCCATTTTAATTGAAATTAGACCGACGAAATCTAATTGAAGTAAAATTACAGCCATCCTTGATATGAATTCATGACCTATTCATAGCAATCGAAAAGAATCCTGCGAGCCAACATCCTTAAAAAGAAATAAGATGTTGACGCAGTACAAATTAACTAACCTAATTTTTTTGTGACTCTGGAGAATCACGATTCTTTCACACCGCAGACCTTTGTCAGGTGGAAGAATGGTAAAAGATTTGTTTTTGGCTGTCACTGGAATCTATTAATTTATTGATAGAGTACACTTTATCAATTCACCTCCATAATCTATCAATTTATCACATTTTTTCTACATTGAGCTAAAGGAGATAAAATTATGTTGATCTTCTCCGCAGATTTCTTTGACAAAATATGCTAGGCTTTCTGAAGTTGGTGACATCATTCCTCAAAAAAAAACAGACCTGCAACTTTTAAAGGTTGCGGTCTGTTCTTCAGAATCTGTTCTACAGATCTTCCGTCTCAATCTAATCAAAAGCGATGTTATTTTGGGTGTATCTGTTCAGATGCATTACTAAGCTCAACAGCATTCTGATTTTACGTTAGAGGGACTACCAAACTATCAGGTTGCCCCATGAGTCTTTTCATAGTCGAACCTTCTGATACGTCTCAAGAACTACTGCGCCCACGAGGTAGCAAATTTGTGGCATTTCTGAGTAGATAATCTATTTTGTCACATATGTGCGAGGAACGCAGCCGCTACAGGCAGAGTTAAAAAATTCAATCCATCATTTTGATTTATAGAAATCAGAAAAACGCAGCAAGTGTATGTATGAATGTTTTAGGCCCCGGTCAGACTTCACGCGACTTAATCGTCGCGATCTAATCGCCAAGATTTCCATTCATTTTCATTTCACATTCAAAAATTTTGGGCTGGAAAAGTATCACAACCGAATGCAAGTTGATCGGCATGGAATGATGTTGTAACAGTTGTCTCGTCGCGACTCAGTCGCGACGATCAAATAGCGTGAAGTCTGACCGGGGCCTTACGGGGAGAGTATGTGCGTGAGCTAGTGGGAAACTCGTGGAGTTGTTCCAAACTGAGATACGATTAATTTTGTTTTTTTTTTCAGGGTTTCGTAATTTTTTCCAGTTTAAAACTTAATGCAGATCAGGTCGAGGCGAAATTTTGAACGCCATCATATAGAGCTTGCTTTGATCTGTCGAATGATACTCCGCCTCCTATTAAGATTATAAAAAGAAGTGACTTATGTCGTGAAAAGTTAGATATGAAAAGACTTATGGAAAACCTTATACACCAGAACATTATTCAGAGCAACTCAACAATAAAATAAAATCTGATGGCAAGGAACTATTCTGTAAGTTATTTGAAATAGGATAATGAAAAACAAAAAAAAAATTAAAAATTCTGTTTCTCTCCTACCCTTAAACGGAGTGAAGGAATTATTAGAATTCCTTCCCGGAACTACCGAAAACATTGCTTTAAATGTTCAATGAATGGCTAACAAAGACACGCATTCCAAGCCGGGCTGTGAAAGAACAAATTATTAGAAGGCAAGAGTCGTAATAGATGCGCCATAATCCTTCACTCTGTTAGTAGCAAATTCGGCAAGTGTTCCAGTTTGGAAATACGATTATGAGCTGATGCGATGCTTAAGCGTAGCCGCATCAAGAAACTCCCGATTGCCAATCCTGTTTGCTCTATGCCCATGCATTTCAGCAAAACACTCTTAACCTTTACTGAGCATAAAGTCCTTTTAAATGATCCTGCGATGTTTATTTAGTGGTCAGTTCTGTATGTAAGTATGCGTGTAAATTATTATGAAGAGCTGCAGCGCTGAAGAATAAAAACTCGCTGCTAAATCCAAGCTGAGGTATTGCACATGTGACATATGTTCGTTCCAAAGTAAACCAGGGGTTTGCAGCTAAGAGAATTTTTTTCAAATGTGAGGATATGAATTTGCAAAAATAAAACCATTGCTATCAATTTATTGGAGATCCCATCAAGAAGAACAGTTGTAGGAGCTCACGCTTAAGCGATAGCTTACTATTGTTCCCAGAATTTTAATCGGTTTCTAAATCGCCACTACGACGGTGGTATTTTGCCCGAAAGCAAAACTTTCAAGAAATTCCTATGATCTTTCGTTAGTCCAAAATCCACACAATTATAATAATTACAATTGCCTCTAATGCACAAAATTGCAATTTTTTTCACTCATCACCTGCCAAATACATCGGCGAAGTGCACTAATTTGAGAGGAAATACAGGTCTGAAAATTCCCCGTACGTCTCAAATTTGAAATTGTCAACAATCTTTAGGTTTTAATCAGGGGTCGGCACGAGGTGGCTTTCGGAAAATGCAAAAAACGAAGTCCCCCCGACTTTCGCAAAATTTTGTAAAATCCCCTTTGACCCTTTCCCGAAATCTCTGAATCGACTAAAAAAACGAAACGTCGATCAAGAAACCTAATTTCGCGCTCACAAAAACGATATGCCACTTTCTTTTTGTCCCAAAAACAACACTCAGCTTGCCTATAAGCCACCTGTGCCGAGCCCTGATTATAATCCTGTTTGTCAAGAAGTATGCGCTTGCCGATTGATGTGTAAATCATAAGTATTCCTGTTTTGGCAATGAGGAAAACAGAACATTTTAAAACTGATTATAGAGCATCTATAGTTCTACATAAGTGTTCAGTGTGGGAGTTCTATCATTTTTCGTCGCAAAATCTAAAGCACGGCCCTCAAGCAGTACAGCGTTCGAGCAATCATTGAATTTTTCCTTTCCATCTTCAAAAAAATTTTGATGTTAACGTGTCATTTCTTTGATATTTGGAAATCCTTCGTCACGATTTATTCCGCAAAAAAATATGAGCATGAACTTTTTACATTAAAATGAAGGAAGAGCCGAGCATTATTGAAGCATCACACACCCGCGACGCATTTTTCGATTTTAGCTCGTGGAATCAAATTCTAACTTTATCATATCTGTTCCTGGCTTTTAGCCAATGTACCAAATACAATACCGCTCGTAGTTTGTGAGAAAAATCACCGCACTCCGCCAAAGTTCGCTGAAATCTGATTGCATCGCCAGATGCTTTGAAGTGGACAAATTCTCATTTTAAAAGCACCATTCAGCTCAGCTCTACGAAATGCATCTTTATGTGTAAGTGCCTGCCTGGACGCAAAAGTCGGTCAAATTTCAAGATCCTTCCAGATTTTTGCTTACGAGGTAGGTTACTCAGAGTGTTGAATCGTTGCACAACGACCAACCTATGGAAGCAAAAATTTGAAAGTGTCCTCAAAATTTGGTCAACTACCGTGACTCAACAAGCACCCCTATATATGGAAAATTGCAACTCGTCGAGCTGAGTTGAAAGATGCTTATGGATTGAGAATTCGTCCACTTCGAAGCATGATATGGCGATGCAAACAAAGTTCAGCAAACTCCGGCGGAGTGCGGTGACTTTTTACACAAATTAGGAGCCGTATTGTATATCCAAACCTAAATATAGTAAATGAACGCTGACAAGGAGTAGTTACTAGTATATTCTGCAAGATTTGCCTCAAAATTGGTATTTAGACTACCGCCATGAACCGTATTTACTTTCGCGCCTAGCTGATGATTGCCAAATTTCTCAAATGGGCGACTATAATTGTTGGCACAAATTTTATCGGCTTGTCATTAATGTGCATGTTGTTCTGTGAAAATTGGCACAATAACGCAGATGTCCTAAAATTTTCTTGAAATTGGTTCAGAGATGGTGAGTGAATAAAGAGGTCATGCATTCATTGGTGTGTCCTTCAATGGGGAGCGTAACGAACAAATTTGGGACATGTGAAAATGTATTGTAGTGAAACTGGTATGGACTGAACAGCTAATACACACACTACGTAAAAACCATTTGTGAAAGTACAAATAGCACCTAGAACCAGTCTCTGCTAACTCAATCATATCGGAGTGAGTCTGAATTGGAAAATTTTGCATGAAAACTTTCTTTGTCGTCGTGATGCAAAATCCTATATAATTTCTGTGAGCTAGAGGTCTTTTCTGGAATGCTTTTAGAATTTTGATCGTAGGAGGTGAATTTTATTAACAGAAATATTTGGTGTACTTGGTTGCAACATTTTTTGGTACTTCAAGCTGCTCATATGGTGTCGAAG